AGGACGGAGTGAAGAGGAGTCAAAGAGACCCAACGAGAGGCTTCGAGAGACAGAGGAAACAAACAACGCGAGTGTGATGGAGCAATGCAGCGTCACAAGTTAACGACAACCAGACAAACACTTCAGATCTGAGCTCCGTGTTTCACCACTGGTTCACCCCGTCACACTCAAATGTGTTTTCACTTTACGCGTGTGCGTGTGCGTGTGCGTGTGCGTGTGCGTGTGCGTGTGTGTGTGCGTGTGCGTGAACCCATTGAGAAACGAGGAAGAGCATAGAGTCTCAGGAATTTCACACAAAAGCATGGAAATCAATCAACGCAGTGAAAACCAGAGGGACGCTCTCTTTTCTCTTCCTTCTTCTTTTCACTTCCTTCTCACCTTTGTTCTCTTTTCTTTTTATCCCCTTCGTCCTTGACCTTTTACTTCCCTCCCTTTACCGTTCAGCATCCTTCCTTCCATCTTTTTATCTCTTCGCTCCACTTTTCTTTTCATCCCTTCCTTCCCTTTTCCATTCCTTTCGGTTTCCTTCCTTCCTTGTCGTTTTCTTTCTTCTTCCTTTTCTTTCATTGTATCCCTTCCCTCCTTCCTCTTTTACTTCCTTCCTTCCTTCCCCCCTCCCTTATGTTGTCCGTCTTTTCTTTTCACTTCCTTCCTTCCTTTGTTCTCTTTTCTTTTAATCCCCACCATCCTTCATCTTTTCCATTCCTTCCTTCCTTCTTTTCTTTACTTTTGTCCCTTCCCTCCCTCCTTCCTTCCTTCCTCATTTATTTCCTTCCTTCCCCCTCCTTCGTTCATTTCCTTCTTTCCTCCCTTTTCTTTTCCTCTCTTCTCCCTTTCCCTCATCCCTTCCCGTCTCTTTTCCTTCCTTTCCTCCCTGTTCCTTTCCTCTTCCCTTCCTTCCTTCCTTCCTTCTGTTTTCTCTTCACATTTCTTTGAATGCGTTCATTATGTCCGTCTGAACATCATACAACAGTATTTGCTAATTAAACTAAGTATCGAACAAATGCGAGACTTACATGAAAAGTCATTGGATCTCTAAAGTCATTAGGATTCAATCAACTGTAATATTTCCTCTTCAAAAGATATAGTGTCTCTTTAAAGGATTGAAAGAACTTTGTCAAAGCTTCTAACTTCCCGTTAAATGACGAGCCGTACATACGTACACGCGTGCCTTTGTATAAACACTCGGCCTCAAGCCTCATCTTAGCCGTTACAGAAACACGGTAACCTTTCACAGCTATTTGCAGAGGCTGCCTCCCTCTGTATGTGCACATACGTACACTTCCACATGTGTTCGGCATCTGTAATCGAGCCGGACCTCAGCCCACCACAGCGCAGCGGGATTGGAGTAAACTGCGTAACCAGACCGGTCGACTGCGGTGAAAGTGGATGAAAGTTGCCCGCGGAGGCTGGTGAGGCCGGGCGACGTACAACGTCTCAAAGCAGACGTGGCTCGGTGGAGAACGATGCTATGAGGAACGTTGGTTTAACGTCTGAAATGTCATAAGAAGTGACATTTAGGATAAGTGCCGTGACTCACGGACACAGATGTGCACGTCTAACAAAACGAAACATTTGTCAGCGCACATTTGCCTCAAAACTGCATCGCGAATTACGCTTCGAGGGTAACGCGAACGTTTTTTCCGTGGACTACGTTTGTTTTTGACGTAATCGCAAATGTGAAACGCGATCAAGTGGTTTGCGGCCGCATAAACATGAGGTGTTGATTAATATGAAAGAAAAGTCGTCCTGAAGGTAAAACTCAAAGACAAACAACAAAACAAAGACGTGTTTGAGGTTTTGGCCACATTGGGAAAGGTCATACAAAGTTGGCAGCCATCTTGCCAGAGATCTACAACGTAGATTTAACAATTGGGGTAAAGAACCGACTCGATCCGGGAAGGGAAACAATTCAAACCAGACGACAGACAGGAGGATAGAAGTGAGGTGAACCACAGCAGAAGAGAACTAAAGAGAAGTCGGCTCTATTTCGGTCTGAAATCAAAGATCTATTGTTTCTACATTACCAAAGAGTGCGAGCGGTAAATCTGCCATCATCATTGTGCGTACTTTGACTCCGTTTAGACCTTTTGAGCTAAGAAACCAATCGCTCTTTCACAATTTCCAGATGTTACACCGGTCGGAGACGTTCTTTCTCGGAACAAAAAGAGATAAGATCTGGACGGAGGAACCTCCACGCCGTTTAAATATATGAATAACATTTGTTAAAATGATAGTGAACACAAGAAGCAGTTCAACTCTGGGATCAAAGCAGGACAAAGACTTTTGTCAGGAGGAGTAGATCTCCAATCAGGGACACACCGTACGAAGCAGCACCTGCTAAACGTCCATATACCTGCTGCTTAATAAAGCAAATTATGCAATAAAATGTTAGCTGAAAGGCTAAAAATGTGTGTTTACACAAGTTGTGTGTGTGTGTGTGTGTGTGTGTTTGTACCCCTCGTCTGATGAAGCGATAAAGTAAAAGAAATGTGCTCTGATAGCTAACAGATGCTTCACTTTCTTTTTTTTTTACCTTTTTCTCTGCACACACCAGACCTCATTCTCTTTATCATCGTTTTTTAAACCCCTCTCTGTTCTCCCTCTTCTTTCCCTTCTCTCTGTTTATTCTTCTTCTGCTGTTAACGTGATGGTGCACGGTTGTCTCTCCATGGGTGCTTCCTGTTCGCGTGTCGGTGTGCTTTCCATCATTAACCTCGGCCTTTCATCCTGACCTCACCTCAAAACAACAGCTCAAACGGCTCGTTCTCGTTCATCAGCAGGAGGCGGTGAAGTGTTTTCTTTATCTGGAAAACTTAAAACTGTTGCCGTTAACAAAATAAATGAACTTTTTCATGTGTTTCACTGTAGTACCGTGATTCAGTTCCCTACGTCTCCTCTGGTGGCCCTGAAGGTCTTTGCTGCTTCATCTGTGATGTACAATAAGTCGTCTCTTTCTGCCAGCTCTGCATTATACTTAAAATCGATCAGCGGTGCAGAAACCTGCTTCCTTTTTATTCCTCATTTCTCCTCATCAGTACTGAAGGTCCTCGGGAGCTTTCAGGTCTCGTGTGATTTTGGGGGAAATAAGCAAAGTGGAGTAGCGTACAAATTAATAATGCATAAGTAAAACTGTACGTAATGATTTATCACAGAAAACCTTTTCCAGTTCAAGATGTATTCACTTAAAGGTTTTTCTTTTTCTCACCCCAGAGCAAAAGCATTTCTTTCAGTATTTCATATTCAAAATGTTCTCATTTGTGTTTTGGCTCCATGATCTCTAACGAAGGAACATCAGCTACACGTCGTGTCTTCATCAGAGTCATCAGGTCTCATTAGGAGGCTCGCAGAGAAAACATCACCGCGCAGGCATTGGTATGCAAAAGGTGCTTACTCATTTACGCCAGCACTGACAAGCACACACACACACACACACACACACACACACACACACACACACACACACACACACACACAGGCTCTCTGCCGTCTGGAATTCGACGTCAGGTCAGTGGACGAATACTAACAGAAGTGGATTAGTGGGATAATGTTTATGTATGTGCAAGTGCAGCGTGCGTGTGTGTGTGTGTGTGTGTGTGTGTGTGTGAGATGCATTTCAATGTACGCCGCATAATGAAAACATTTTAAGATTAAAATAAAAATTTGAAGAACTTGTGTTGGTTGTTTTTTCTAAATGTGGACCTGCTGCAGATATAAGGTCTACTCTTTGATACGAGATGCAGGATTTATCAGAAGCTAATTAATTAATTAACCTGGTTTACTAGAACAACTGAGTTTATGATGTTTATAAAGTTGTGCACCTGCTTAATGTTAGCCAACAAGCGCTTTAAAATGCATCTACTGCTGCAAGAAGAATACTTTAAATACGATTTTTACATTATAAAATATTTCTTTTGACTCAAAAGTATCCCAAAAAGGCTTTAAATCAAAGGAGATTTAGCACCATAAAACACTGAAGTATTCTCTGCTATACACACACACACACACACACACACACACACACACACACACACACAGTACCTGTATTGTGTCACTTTGTCTCAATTAAAATCCCTCGTAATCGATCCCTGCAGATTTC